ACCTACACTCACCTTTACTGGCTCCATCCCCGCCTCTTCGACCTGTTTGTTTCCTCTCCTCTATCCATCTTCTATCCGCCTCCCACTCTCTCCCTATTTATTTCAGAACCCCCTTCCCCTCTCCTTTTCTGATGAAGGGTCTAGGCCGGAAACGTCAGCCTCCCTGCTCCTATGATGCTGCTTGGCCTGCTGTGTTCATCCAGCCCTGCACCTTGTTGTTTTGTATACATATAGTACTTTCTTATCCTGCATCATTTTTATTGCTTAGAAGAACAAAGGCAGTAGGCACTTAGGAACGCCAAGTTGCAGATCATACTGACTTGGAACAATATCACCATTTATTCACAGTCATTCAGTTGTATTCCTGGAAACCCCTCCTAACTGCACACTGAGTGGATCGACACCATGGATTCCACTGGTTCATAGAGGCAGGTTCTCAACCACCTTCTGAAACACTTAGGATAGGACATAAGTATTGATCTTGCCAGCAATAGTCCTATTCAATTAATTATTTAATAAAAAGTTACTAATGCAAATAGTATCTCGCGAACAAATCAGAAACACATTTTGTTTCACCTTACTTTAAAGTTGTGTTTGTCATCACTCCTCCTTAGAGCTAAGAGGCTAATACTCTGGCAGTGTAACTGACATACTGAGTCTCAATTGCCCAAAATGGAGATTTTACAGGTAATAAACACGCCCACTGCCCCCCACTCTAAGGACTGCATTCCTCAGGAGATTAGATTACTAATTAGTATAGTTGTCATAGTCTTACCAGACCGTAGAGCTGCTCTCTCATTAGAGAGAGACACATGGTGGTTATTTAACCTGAGAGTCACCATACCTCAGGCAAGGGGAGAGATTGAGAAGGAGTTGTTCATGGTAACTCACGCACACACACACACGTGCTCTTTATTTTTCTTGCTTATAAAAAGCAAATGATGAAAAGCTCTATATTCTAATTACAGCACGTGCAGAAAGTACATAAAGAAACACATTGTATTGCCTATATTATTATTTAGAATGGCTTTTTTCCCAATCCATAAAAGACATTTTCATCTGTGACCTTCAAAACACTTTCTACTACATTTGTTTCCATAATCTATTAGCTTAACAATTCTGAACCAGATTTAGATATTAGGAATATAGTTTTTTTTTAAAGTTTAAGTACATGATTCTGCTCTTGTGTAAACTTATAAACCATTGTACTGAAGCATAGAGTTATACCCTGCACAAAGGAAAATAGTTGTGTATGCTAGAGGTCAGTCATCTCACCTCCAGAACATTCCTGCAGGAGTTCTTCAGAGTAAATGTTCTGGACTAAACCTTTTCAGCTGCTTCATCAGTGAGCTTCCCTCCTTCACAAAGTTAGAAGTGGAGATGTTCACTAATGATTGTACAATGTTCAGCATCATATTGCAACAAATATTGAAGCAGTCCATGTCCAAATGCCACAAGACCTGAATAGTTGCCACGTTTGGATGACAAGTGGCACGTAACATTTGTACCACAAAAGTAATAGGCAATGATCATCAGTAATGAAAGAGAATCTAATAGTTGCCCCTTGATTTTCAGTGGCATTACCATCACTAAATCCCCCTGCTATCAAAATGCTGGGTTGGTCATTAACCAGAAAATGAACTACACTAGCCATGCAAGTACTGCGGCTACAAGAGCGGACAAAGCCTGTCCACCAAATACAAGGCACAAGTCAGGAGCATGATAGAATACTCATTACTTTCCCGGATGAGTGCCGTTCTAGCAACACTCAAGAAGCTTAACACCATCCAGAACCAAGCCAACTTGATTGGCACTACATCCAAAACATCCACTTTCTCGACCATTGAGGCACAGCAGCGGTATCATGTACCATCTAAAAGATCCACTGCAGAAATTCACCAAGGCTTCTGAGACAGCATCTTCCAAACCCATGACCACTGTTGTATAGAAGAACAGAAGCAGCAGATACATGTAAATACCACCACCTGCAACTTGCCCTCTTAGCCACTTAGCATCTTAACTTGGAAATATATCATTGTTCCAAATCCTGAAACTCCATCCCCAATAGCATTGTGGGTCTGCCTATATCAAATGGAATCAAGAAGGCTGTTTACCACCACCTTCTCAGGGGCAGCTATGCTGAAAGAAATGATGGAAGATGTGACTGAAGGCGCAGAATACTGCTAGGTTATAGGCTACAACAACATTCCAGCAATAGTACTGAAGAACTGTGTTCCAGAACGTGTCATATCCTCAGCCAAGCTGTTCCAGTACAGCTCCAACACTGGCATTTTGCAACAATGTGGAAAATTGCTCAGGTATGTCTTGTACTCAAAAAGCAAGATAAATCCAACCCAGCCAAATAGCACCCAACCAGTCTATTCTCATTCATCAGTGAAGTGATGGAAGGTCATCAACAGTGCTATCAAGCAGCATTTGCTTTGCAGTAACCTGTTCACTGACTGCCACATTGGGTTCCGCTAGGGCAATTCAGCTTCTGACTTCATTGTAGCCTTACTTTGAACATGGACAGAAGAGCTGAATTCCAGAGTGGTAAAAGTGACTGCCCTTGACAAAAAGACCAAATTTGATGGAGTTTGGTATTAAGGAGCCCAAGCAAAACTGGAGTTATTTGGAATTGGGGGTGGCAGATGCTTTGCTGGTTGGAGTCATACCTAGCCTGAAGGAGGATGGTTGTGCTTGTTGGAGGTATTCATTTCAGCTCCAGAATATCTCTGCAGTTGATCCTCAGGATAATGTTGTGGACCCAACAATATTCAGCTGCTTCATCAATGACCTTTCTTCCATCATAAGGTCAGAAGTGGGATATTAGCTGATAATTGCACATTGTTCAGCACAACTTAAATACAGCAAGACTTAGACAATAACCAGGTTTGAGCTGACAAGGAGCAAGTATCATTCAGGCTAGACAAGAGCCATGCAATGACTATCTCCAACAAAGAGAATTTAACCATCATCTTTTGACATTCAGTGATATGACCAACATTGAATCCTCCACTGTCAACATCTTGGGGTTTACCACTGTTACCAGAAACTGAACTGGACTAGTCATAAGTACTCAGACTGCAAGAGTAGGTCAGAGGTTAGGAATTCTGCCGCGAATAACTCACCTCCTGACTCCCCAAAGCCTGTATACCATCTGCAAGGCACAAGTTAGGCATGTGATGGAATATTTCCTACTCGACTGGATGGCTGCAGCTCCAACAACACTCCAGAAGCTTGACACTATTCAGGAAAAAGCAGCCTGTTTGGATGTTTGTGGAATCACTTACTCCACCACAGATGCATAGTGTCTGCTATCTACAAGATGCACTACAGACATTCACCAAGGCTCCTATTGACAGCACTTCCAAAACCACAACCATTACCACTACCACTTAGAAAGACAAAGGCAACAGAACTATGAGAACACTACTACTTGCAAGTTCTCATCCAAGCCACTAACCGTCCTGAGTTGGAAATTCCTTCAATATCACTGGGTCAAAATCCTTTAACTCCCTCCATAGAGATCTATAGCACAGAAAAAGGCCATTTGGCCCATTCTGTCCACGCTGGTCAAAAACAGCCACTTAAGTAGTCTAATCCCATTTTACAGTATTTGACCTGTAGCCTTGTATGCCATGACTTTGTAAATGCATTTGTAAATAAATCTGAAATGTAATGAGGATTTCTGCCTCTATCACCCTAACAGGCAGTGAGTTTCAGGATTGTACCACCCTCTGGGTGAAAATGTTTCTCGTCTAAACCTTCTGTCCCTAACCTTAATTTTGTCATTCATCCCTCTATCAAATGGAAATGTTCCAGTCTGTGCCCCACATAATTTAATACATTTCAATCATGTTCCCTCTCAACCTCCTCCGCTCTAAGGAAAGCATCCCCAGTCAGTCCAATCTCTCTTCATAATTGAAACTTTCCAAGCCAGGTAACATGCTGGTAAATCTCCTCTGCACCTTCTCCAGGTATCACATCTCTCCTCTAACGTGAATTCCAGAACTGCACACAATACTTTAGCTGCCACCTAACAACATTTTACACATTGTCAGCCTACCTACAGCAAATGGACTGGAGGGTTTCAGGAAGGCAGCACATCAGGCAGCTCACCACTGCCATCACCTTAAAGGCATTTAGCATTGGCAATAAATCTGGCCCAACTAGTGGCGTCCACACCCCATGAATGAAAGAAGTAATTAATGGCTTGGATGAGGAGAGTGCACGTACTATGGCCCAAGTCTGAGAAGGCAAGTGATGAGGATGATGGAGTCTACAGAGGAACATGAATAGGTTAGATAAGTGGGCAAAAACTTTTGGCAGATGGAAAATTGTATGGCACATTGGGAGGTTACACGCATTGACAGGAAGAACAGAAGTGATGAATATTATTGAAACAGAAAAACTGCAGCAAGCAGCAGTACAGTTGAATGTGGGGTCCCCCTTGCAAAAATCACAAAAGGCTAGCACCCTAATTCAGCAGATAATAGAATTTGGTCTTCAGTTAAAAGGAAATGAAGTATGAAATAGCGGAGTCTTGTTAAAACTAAATGAGGCACTACTTAAACAAAACTATAATACTGTGAGTATTTTGGACCACTTATCTAAGGAAAGGTGTACTGGCATTGGAAGCAGTCCAGAAAAGGTCACTGGGTTGATCCTGTATATGGAGGGATTTTCTGATGAAGAGAGGTTGAGTAAGTTTGGGCCTATATTCATGGGAGTTTAGTAGAATGGGCGTTTACCTTATGGAAACATATAAGATTCTTGTTGGGGCTTAGATGCTGAGAGGTTATTTCCCCTTATGATAGAATCTAGGACCAGAGGGCATGATTTCAGGCTAGGTGGTCACCCATTTAGGATAGAAATGAGGAGGAATATCTTGTTTCACTGGGTGATGAATCTATGAAATTCTTTACTGTGGGGGGCAATGGCGGCTGTATCATTAAGTATATTGAAGGCTGAGATAGACAGATTTGTAATAAGTAAGGGAGTCAAGGGGGCAAAAGGCAGGAAAGTGGGAGTTGAGGCTTATCAGATCATTGATCATATTCAATGGTGGAGCAATCTAAGGAGCCATGTAGTTGACTCATGCTCTTGTTTCTTATGCCTTTATGACTGGAGTCTGTTAGAAGAATGACTTTGGCTGTCCTAAAATATAATGAGTGCTGCCCAGTTTTGTGCTGGCAATAAGGGCCTGATTATAGGAGGAGCAAATTACTGCAGTATGATCCCCAATTATAGGAGATTTCTGTATTTTATATCTGTTTAAGCTGTGACCAATAGTTACAGTCAGAGATCAAATTACAGAATGTTTACACTTTTTGTTCTTCGAATTTCCATCCATTTTTCATGGCTGGTTATTGTACATGTTAATTTGCTGATACACTTTCCTCTATTTTCAAAGAAGAATCAACAAGTTGGGCAAATGGAGATGATGATCATGTTGTAGCAAGGGCAGAATATGATTTCACTGCAGGCTCAGAAGAAGAGCTCACATTTCGTTCAGGTGACCTGCTGAACCTAGCTCCCAAAGGTGAATTATTCAACTATATTTTCCATTTAAAGTTGCTCTAATAAACTGAACAACAGCTGTGAAAATATTCAACTTGTGCATTTTTTCTTCTTAAGACTGATAAAAGGTGAACATCAAAGTAGTAAAAGAAAGAAAACTGTGATTGAATTTATGATTGAATTTATGATTTCAAAGATTGAATGACAAAGGAGCTAATTTAGAATTTTTAAAAACTATTTTCTTCCTCTGAAAGCAGTCACTCATTGGTTCTATTGGTAACCACTGGTATTTCGCACTCTTGGCCAATCTTCAATGAATGCTGGTAGGCCCATTGCCCACGTAGGCTATTAGAATTTTTTTCCTCCAACACTTTGCACATCTATGTCACATGTTTATATTAATTCAGAAGTATAACCTTTTATCTCAACTTCAAAGATATATTTCCTTGCCCCATGCTCCAACCCCACCCCCTTTTCCATAGACGTGGAATAGTTCAAAGTTTAATAGATTGCCCAAATGAACATTACCAATGAGTTGCATATAAGTAACCTTAGAAATCACACCGTGATGAAGAAAGACAGACCATGATTGACATAAAAACAGTTGGATGATGCAAGATGATAGACTTTGGAACTGAGTGCACAAAAGACAGATGGTGGGTACAAATGTGTAAAAAGAGCAGGTGAAAAAAAAAAGAAATATAAAATAAAATATTTGGTCAGGACACACTTATTTAAATATTGAGGAAACTGAAAGCCCAACAAATGAAACAAATTCAAATAGGAAAAAGAGGAAGGTAGGAAAAAGCGTGTGTTAGCTTGAGCAATATTTGAAATGTTTCCTATTTGTAGGTTGCACATTACAGTACAGTTGTTTCTGAAGCAGCTTTGTACATGTTAGTCATCTGAAAACGTAAAGTTGCTGTAGTCCCAGAGCACCATAGGACTGCTCTTTCATGAGAGTGAGACGGCTGGTGGTGGTTTCCCCTCAGGGTTACCATGCGTCAGGTGAGCTGCAAAATTGAGGAGTGTCCTTCATGGATATTCAGTACATGTCAGCTGGTGCAGAAATTCAGCCCATGTTGGTAGCATCACACTGCCTCACAAACCAGCTGTCCAGCCAACTGAGCTAACTGACCCCCTCAGTCATCTATACTTGTATATTATAAAACACATGCTATTGGAAGGCTTAAACATGCTATAAAGTGATCCTAATGGGTTTCTATTTAAATTATTAAAATCTAATTTCAGTTGAATATGAATTTTATCACACTTGCTGCTTATTCCAAAATGGAAAAAGAATTGAGAGAATTTCACACTCATTGAAGTTTAAACTAAAGGTTTTCAACACTTTGGAGTAAATTCATTCAAATCTTAGTTGTAAGACCTAGTCCCAAATAGTCCATTTGATATTGGTATAAAGCATGCTTAACTGTTTTCCTTCTCTTTTCAGAACAACAACCTAAAGTACGTGGGTGGTTGATGGCCAGTTTGGATGGTCAAACAACAGGATTAGTGCCAGCTAATTATGTCAGAATTTTAGGTAAAAGACGGGGCAGAAGGCAAGCAGAGCTGCAACGCTTGGCAGAAAAACAGTCACATGGAGGTTCATCAACTGCAAGTGGACCTAACATTATTGAATCACTGGAAGAACAAGAAGCAGCCTTTGAATCGGTTTTTACTGAAACACCAGAACATAATAAAGATTCTAGCACTACACAATCCACACATACTGGTAAAAATGTAGTCAATGTCTGACAATATTAATATTACTAACAGGAAGAAAGCTTTCCCTTTGTAAATCTGGTGTGTTAAATTATATTCATAGGTTTTAGATTTCTGTTGTACCAAATTATGATCCTTCCATCCTTAGCCCAGCAAATTTTATTTTGAAAAATAATTCAGGGCACATAAGATGTTTATTTGTCACCTATTAAGTGTCCATACCCTTTGCCAACATATACCAGGTATTTTTTGTTTGACCAATGTACAACAGATAATTACACATACTTAGCCACCATTTAAAATGGTTGGATCGTTTCTAAAAATTCTTGCAATTTCAACAAATTTGGATGATTGACCCATAAGCCAAAAACAAAAGGTCACAATTTTACAGCCCCCTACCACCCACTGATATATTTGTAGACAGTTTGAAAGTAAAATAAAATGGATAGCTACCTCCACAACGTTCCTGCTTGTCATCATATATTACTGTGGGTGGGTAAGGTATCAGTGATATCCCACCCTTGGGCTTCTAGCTTGTTTTCACCTTCATTGCTGTAATTTTTGCAGGTGTAGAAGGTGGAACAATAAGCTAGCATGCTATTTTTAACCCTGGGACTTAAAAGTGGGAAGGAAGCAGGCAGGAGTTCCCTATGCTCATCAGATCCTTGATTCCTCCCTGACCAAAAACCTAAAGACTTACTTGCAAGTCCAGCATTCATGGATCTTTTCATTTGCCACTACTGAGTTCTCACGTAGCTGCAAGTCTTGAGGGCAGGACCTCCTTTTCCTATAGGACGGAAGTCTTGCTCTCAGCTCATTACAGCCTCTCCCAGTACATTATCATTGTGGGGGTGGGCGGTAGCCATTTGTTTAAAACCCGTTGGCTTAATACCAACTTTTCAGTGGGGGTAGCAAACCCAGAACCCTGTCATTCCCTGTGTAAAATTTGCCCTTCAGTCTTTTTTGTTGCCTTTAATTTCTTCTTCTGCGGAGACCTGGATTTTATTCAACAAAAATTGGTTACAAGTGATGTGATTTGAAAGCATATTGGAAAGCTCTGTCCATACTTAAAATTTGAATACTCAGGTTTTTTGCATTTGTGAAACTGGTGATATTCTGGTAAGTTTGGTAGTAAACCTGTAGCTTGTGATGCCATTGCTGCTTGATGAAATTAACTAGATCATTATAATACAATATGTATTAACTCAAATGTATCAGTTATAGCAAACATTTGAACCAAACATGTGATTACTTCTAAATTGTTCACATTATCCACGATAATAATTTCACAAGTGAAGGTAATGTGCCTGATGTGGTGTACTTAATTAATTGGATAACCATGAAAATGGTAGTTTGCTGCTGTTCTTTTGAAATATTATCTGTATCATATTTCCAACTAGGAGAAGTAGCCAAACTGAAGCAATCACAGCTGAGTAATAGTTTCAAAACAAACTCACTTGTGATAAAAGGTGAACATGGTGTTCAACACATTGTGACAGTGTATGGATGTTACCTGATGGAAATAATTAAATAGTGAAACATCATTTTAAAGTAAGAATGTCAAGGGTCTACTGAGTAAGTCTTTGCATAAGTTAATCTAAATGTATATTTTCATTTGGAATCATAAATTTCTTTCAAACAGTATTAAACATTACATGCTTATGAAATTGGGAAGTTTCCACAAATGAGTGCTGTTTGTATTATCAAAATATGTCAAATTGGAATGTTTGAGGATAAGGCCCCCCACCTCACATTGTTCCATACCTGTGTACTCCATCCATTTTCAAGGGATTGGCTGAATGGGTCATTGACCTTGAGTTTCGTTTCAATTCAGTTCATTTCCATACAATACAGCACAGGAATAGGCCCTGCGGCCCACCAAGCCTGCGCTGATTCCTAGCCCTTCTTTGGACCTGCTACTTATTGCCCATACGCAGTTTGTATCCCTCCGTTCACCTCCCATTCACATGTCTATCAAGATGTGCCTTAAATGTCGCTAAGGTACCTGCTTCCACCACCTCCGCTGCCAGTCCATTCCAGGCACCTACCACCTTTTTGAGTGAAAAATTTTCCCGCAATTCTCCCCTAAACCTTTCCTCCCTCACTTTGAACCTGTGTCCTCTTGTAGTTGACTTTTCCACCCTAGGAAAAAAGCCTCGACTATCCACCCTATCTACACCTCTCACATTTTGTAGACCTCTATCAGTTTGCCCCGCAGCTTCCATCTTTCCAGTGAAAACAATCTGGGTTTGCCCACCTTTCCTCATTACTAATATCGGCCAGACCAGACAATAGCCTGGTAAACCTTCTCTGCACCCTTTCAAAAGCATCCACATCCTTCTGGTAATGTGGCAACTAGAACTACACGCAGTATTGCAAATATGGCTGTAATATAACTCGCCAGCTTTTATATTCAGTGTCCTGGCCAATGAAGGCAAATGTGCTATATGCCTTCTTGACCACCTTTTCCACCTGTGTTGCCACTTTCAGGGATCTGTGGACCCTATACACCCAGATCCCTCTGTATGTCAATGCTTCTAAGGGTTCTGCCATTTATTGTATAATTTGTACCTGAATTTGATCTTCCAAAATGCATCATCTCATATATGTCTGGATCAAACTCCATCAGCCATTTCTCTGCCCACATCTGCAATCTATCTGTATCCCTCTGTATCCTTTGACAATCTTCTTTTCCATCTGCAACTCCTCCAATTTTGGTGTCATCTGCAAACTTACTAATCAGACCACCTATATTTTCCTCCAGATCATTTATAGATATTGCAAACTTCAAAGGTCCCAGCACTGATCCCTGTGGAACACCGCTAATTACTGATATCCATTCCAAAAAGCACTCTTACACCACTACTCTCAGCCCTCTATGACCAAGCCAGTTTTGAATCCATATAGCCAGCTCACCTCAGATCCCATGAGATTCTACTTTCTTACTAGCCTGCCATGATGTACTTTATCAAATGCCTTGCTAAAGTCTGTGTAGACAACATCCACAGTCCTTCCCTCATCAGTCATTCTTGCTACTACTCAAAACTCAATAAAACTGATGAGACATGACCTTCCCCACACAAACTTGTTCTGCCTATCATTAACAAGTCATTAACACTTCTAAATGTGAATAAATCCTGTCTCTCATTACCTTCTCCAACATCTTCCCCACTACTGACGTCAGGCTCACCGGCCTATAATTACCTGGATTACCTCTGTTTCCATTACTAAACAAAGGGACAACATTGGCCATTCTCTTATCCTCTGGAACCTCATCTGAGGCTAAAGAGGTTGCAAAGTTATGTGTTAAGGCCCCAGCTATTTCCTCCCTTGCCTCCGACAGTATCCTGGGATAGATTGAGTGGCCCTTGGGACTTGCCTACCTTAACGTATTTCAAGACACCCAACAGTTCCTCCATCATAGTGTTTACCTGCCCAATAATATACATCTTTCCCTAACCTCAACATCTCTTATGTGCCTCTTTTTTAGGTGAATACCAATGTAAAGTACTCATTAAGGAGCTCACCCATTTCCTCTGGCTCCACACATAACCTCCCTCCTTTATCCTCAAGTGGGCTCACTCATTCCGTAGCTACCCTCTTGCTCCTAATATACATATAAAATGCCTTGGGATTTTCCGTAACTCTGCTGGCCAAGGACATTTCATAGCTCCTTTTAGCCCTCCTAACTCCCTGTTTGAGCTCCTTCCTACTTTCTATATTTTTCAAGGACTTTGTCTGCTCTTAGTTGCCTAGACCTTAGGTATGCTTTTTTTATTTTATCTAAGCTGATAATTTCCCCTGTCATCCAAGCTTTGTGAACCCTGCCATTCCTTTCCTTCATTTTCACAGGAAAATGCCTGTCCTGCATTGTAATCAGCTGATCTTTAAAAGACTCCCACATGTCAAATGTGGATTTACCCTCAAACAGCCATTCCCAATCCATGTTATCCAATTCTTGCCTAATGTGGTTATAGTTGGCCTTCCCCCAATTTAACACCTTCATCCAAGATCCACTCTTGTCCTTAACCATAAGTATCTGAAAACATACAGAATTATGGTCCCTATTCCCAAAATGCCTCACTGCAACATCCCTCCAAGGTGTCCCCCCTCAACACAGCTGTGATATGCTCCCTAATCAGTAATGCAACTCCCCCAACTCTTTTGCTACCTCCTGTGCCTCATCTAAAACTTCGATATCCCAGAATGTTAATTTGCCAGTCCTGTCCCTCTTTCAATCATGTCTCTTTGATAGCAACAACATCATAATTGCATGTATTAATCCCGGCTCTAAAGTCATCCGTCTTACCTGTTATACTTCTTACATTGAAGCAAATACCGTCCAGGCCTCCAGTTCGGCTGAGCTCAGCAACCTCTCACTAACTGCTCCTCTTCTTAGCTATAATTGCCTTTGTCTCAAGCTCTTCCACAGTCTCTATACTTACTGATCTACTGCTCCAGTTCCCACCCACCTAGTGGGTTTACACTAGTTTAAACACTTCCGAGTGGCATAGAACCTCTCAGCCAGGATATTGGTACCCCTCCGGTTTAGTTGCAACCTATCCTAATTGTACAGATCCCACCTTCCCTGAAAGACATCTTAATGATCCAACTATCTGGAGCCCCCCTCACACAAGCTCTTTAGCCATGTGTTCAATTGTACTCTGTCTCTGTTCCTAGTCATTGAGGGTTAAGTGCACAGAAAAGATCTAGGCTATTAAAATAACAAATGTAAATGTCTTCAATTAACCCTTTTGGGACACCAACTTTAAGCTATTATTTATGGAGTAGCATCTCGTAGTCTGACCTTGTTCTCAGTTTTGTTAATCTGAATTTAATGTCAGATTTGGAAAGCTTGTCTTGGGGATTTGATTTGATCTCTCTTATTCATGTACTTATCCAAATATTTTTTGAACATTATAACTGTATCTATATCCACAACGTCCTCTGGAAGTTCATTCCACACATGAACCACTCTCTGTGTAAAAACATTGTCCCTCATATCCTTTTTAAATCTTTCTCCCCTCACCTAAAAAATATGCCTCCCAGTCTTGAAATCCCCAGCATAGGGAATCTATGACTCTGTGATTGTATATGCACATTTCAGAAGTTGTCATCTTCCTTTCATCATCTTTTTTCAGAATGCAATTTTGTCATTCATCGTGTGGATCATTTCTGTTATGACATGGAGACAGAAAGCTGAACCAAATCAGCCATTTACATCTGTATTTCTGATACAGTAAAATTAATCCATTGAAGACCTCTGAAAAGTCCTCCAATAGTTCCTAATCAGATTTTGAATAACCAATCACAGTCTTTACAAATAATTAAGTCTTTCAAGATGCAAAACCCATTGTCTAGAAATTAACAGTTTATTAAATACGAAATAACATTAGCAGAGAGAAAATTAAACAGCACGATAAATTGAGTAATGTCTGTTGTTTAAACCGGAAACATTTGTTTTCAGACCCCATTCACACAAGAGACAGATAAACAAACACAGTCAAGGGATAAAGAAAATAACAAAACTGGCCAGATTAGTTAAATGGCTTTCATGATTCGTTGTTTCACAGACATAAATGTTGATTCTTTGGCTGCTTTTCTGAAAAGGTTAGGGTTCAACCAGGCATAGGCAGCAATATTTCCAACTCCGCTTTCTACTCTTTGGGGTACTGGAAACTGGTGTGTCAGATTAGACTGAGAACTTTTGAATTTTTGTGCTGCCTCAGCATCATCACAGAACCATCTCTCAGAAAGTATAGTTAAAAAAAAGCTACTTTAAGACTGTTTCTGCCTTGAAAGACAATCAACTCCTCCAGAGGTTTCAATTACTGTTCAACAACTGTCATCTGCTTGAACATAGGGTCTCTTTCAAACTTTCTGGAACCAATTCCCCAGGTACTCACCTCCATAACAGCCAACTTCTGCTATTTATTTAAAAACAACGCTGTTCCCAGGGATTGCTGTGTCTGTTAGAACTTGTTTCATCAAGACTTGGCATGTAATTTGCCTCCAGGAGTTGCCCTACAAATAAAAAAAGCTTGTTTGGTCTGTTTCTAAACTTTTAGCACAAGCTGTGCCTAAGTCCAACAGTTATTTTCAGTTCATAATTCAAAATTGATTTTAAAAAAGATAATGAAAAATCAGCAAGGGTTCTCACTTCATACTGTCACTTCAGTGACTGTACTAGACATGTCTTTCAACTTCACGCTGATGGTTTTGTTCTCAATGATTTTGTAGAAATGGTCTATGGTTGTGAATCAATTTACAATTATCATTAGTTGAATTTTCATTGTACAGCAGAGGCAGGATTGGAGGCAAATTTGTAATGCTGAAGAGCATCCTACCTCCTGCCAATTTTGTCAGAAGTATTGTGTAGTCAGTTGGTAGTGCCAATCTGCCTTAAAGTGGCAAATCATTGGTCGAGGCAAACAAGCTAACTGAAAGCTTTGTGTGGAATAGAATGAGATTTTGGAGGAGTGGCACAGGTAAGGCAGGATAACCAGTGTTCCTGTTGAGAAAGACATGACAGTGCAACAGGAAGCTAGCTATAGACATGGAGGCAATTTCTAAAAATAAATTTAAAATGAGCTCTCCATGAGCAGAGCTTGTTAAAAGTTTGTTATGTAGGTATGGGGCAATTGGGGAATGTATGTCCAGAATTGGT